TTAAGTGTGCTTCAATAAGTTCAGTTAAGGTGTTCAATGTGCCTGTCTCCATGAGCCGTGCGGTGGACGTTCGAATGGGGACTCCGAGAGCGAATTTGTAGATTTTACGTAACAAAGTGTCTACGTTATTTTGTTCTCTTCTCAGAAGGAACAGATAAGGGAGAGAATAAGTCACTTTATTGAGGACGAAGGCTTGGATGAGGCGGAGGAGCTCTGCCTCTCGTAGCCCGCCATGCTTATTAGATATCCTGCCTATAAGGCGTAGAGTGTGGTCCACAGTTGTTTGAAGTGCTTTAATGGTGTGTGTGTTTAGTCGATTTCGTTGTATGTGTAGTCCAAGCACCCTGAGTCTGTCAACTTTAGGCACCGAGTTCACCGAGTTTTTCACCGAGTTCCAAGAGTATTCATCAATCATGAATATCACCAGTCTGTGGGAACTTTTTAAAACCTAGCTTGCTAGTTTTGTCAGTAATCATGTACCTTCCAAAGATATTTCCTGGAAACGAAAAGTTGACAAACCCTAGATTACCGCAAGCCTAAGAAATTTAATAAAAAAAATCGCACTTTCAAGCGTTTTCGTTCATCAGGAACGGCTGATGTTCAAAAAAAACTCCCTGAGTTAAGTTGACTGTCAAAAAAAAACAATTAAGAGAAGCAAAAGATAGCTTTTTTGCTTCCCTAGAAAGAAAGCTGATTACTAATTTCAAGGAAGTTTGGAAGTATGTGAAATCAAATATGATGGACTCTTTTGGCACTCCAGGCATAACTGATGATGAAACAGCCTTTTCGGAAGATGCAGAGAAGGCAGCCTGCTTAAACCAGTATTCTCAATCTGTGTTTTTCGAACCATTTCAAGGTGAAATGCCATATATGACAACCCAGCAATTTGAATATATGGATAACATTGTTATTTCGGCTAGTGGTGTGTGCACTCTTCTTGAACGACTTCAACCAAACCCGGCTCCGAGACTGGATGCCATTTATAGTCATGTATTGAAGAGGTGTGCAAGTGCTCTAGCACCATTTTTAGCAGTCTTATTTTCAAAATCACTTGAAGGTTAAAAGCTGCCATCTGAATGGAAGTTAGCAAATGTGCCAATACCAAAGTCTGCAAACAAAAATAATGTTGCCAACTAACGGCCAATTTCTTTGACCAGCGTACATTGTAAAACTCTTGCACACATTATCTATAGTAGCATTATAAAGCACTTGGAAAGAAATAATGTTTTGTGTATATTTCAGCATGGTTTTTGGGTCTGGTCTGTCATATGTTGCACAACTATGCAAATTTTGTCATGACATTTTAAGTTCATATGATAAGGATTATCAAGTCGATTCGATATTTATAAACTTTCAGAAAGCATTTGACACCATTCCACATGCTCTTTTATTACATAAATTATCATTTTTAGATCTGTCTGTATATGTTCTTGGTTGGTTGAGGGATTATTTAACTTCTAGAAAACAGTTCGTGCGAATAAATGGTTCGTCTTCTTCATACGTCAGCGTAACTTCCGGGTTGCCACAGGGTTTGGTATTGGGTCCTTTACTCTTTTTGGTCTATATTAATGACTTGTCAGAGACACTAACATCAAACGTGAGGCTGTAGTATTTATATATCAACACACAGTATGGATAATATTTGTGCTTTACAACGGGATCTTGACACTGTGGTAAGGTGGTGTGAGAAGTGGAAGATGTGTTTGAATGCAAAAAATGTTGCTTCCTTAGTTTTACCAGAAAACACAAACCTTTTCACTCGTCTTGCAGCTTGTCAGGAGCACAACTTGACCGTGTTAAACATTTTAAATACCTTGGTGTATACTTGTCTGCCGATTTATCTTGGAATAAGCATATAGTTTACGTAACTGGCAAGACCAAGGGTGTGTTAAACTTTATTAAATGGAATTTCAAGTCTGCCCCCAATAGTCTAAAATAGGCTTTGTATGTTACAAATGTCCGATCTATCCTTAAATATGCCTGCACAGTGTGGGATCCTCATAATCAAACTCTATTCTATAAACTTGAACGCATACAAAACCATGTGGCGCACTTTGTCATTAATAATTACAATTTTAACTCCAGTGTTACATGCATTAAGAGTAACTTAGAATAGAAGCCTCTTGAGCAGTGCAGGAAATTCTTGCGTTTAAAGTTTTTTCATTCTATATTTTCATATTCTGTGATGAAATCCGCATTAACAAGAGTTTATACATGGCGAGCCCATACTATGTGTCAGATAGAAATGATCACTAAAAAAAAAAATCCGCCAGGTCAGCTGTCGTACTGGTGCCTTTGCGAATTCTTTCTTTCCTTTTACCATTCGCGAATGGAATAATTTGGATGTGTGTGTTGTTGATCTTTCATTCGATGCTTTCTGTTCGTCACTACAAGATTTGTGCTCTTTGTGAATATGCAGGAGCTGCTGCGCACATGTATGCCATTTTCGACGGCGCAAACGTGCGCTTTGTTCGACTGTAATACTGCTTTTTTTCCCTAACCCCCAATAATAATGCCCACTTGGGTGATATAGGTTGCACTAATAAATAAATAATTGAAAAAATAATTGCCTCCTGAACATGTGGTTTTAATTGCTCCTGAGTACTGTCGCTGATGTCCACCAAAAAGAGCATACTTTAGGCTTATGGCAGCCGATTGCTATGTGACCTGGCTCATTGCAACGGTGGCATACGACCGACTTAGCCTTGCACAACTTATGTTTCTCCTCTTCTGATGCGACTCACTGTAGCTGTGGACTTGGCAGGACAGTCTTTCATATTTATATTGGAGGATACTAAATTGTTAACTGAGGTACTTGAGGCCTGATAAATTCCTAATGCTAATCGCCTTTCTCAAGTATCCTGTCTTCCTCCGCCCGTCTTCGCTTTCTTTCCTCATTTTTTAAATTTTTTTTCTCTTTTTCAACTTCCTTCCAACATTTCTCAATTTCGTCATCCTCCGCATCGCACACATAAATCGCCCAAATCAGCGACTCTCTCTCATCTCTCCCAACCTTCATTCCCAGCTCTTCACACAGTAGTAAGAGGTCTGGTCTCTCTAGCTTCTTTACCAACTCTATGGTATTCACGAGTGAGGATTTTCTTTCTTGTCATAACGTTGGGTAGCAAACGAGCGAAGCCTACACGTACGTTAAAATTACTGCCAGTTCTAGAATATGAAAGCTAAAAGGGTGAATAACTGTGATGTATGGTAGCGGTACAACGAAGCCTATATGCACAGAAGTTTACACACAGATTTAAAAAACTTCAAAAGGTAAAACCTGGCAAATCTCAAAGAAAGTCAAGCACTCACTACAGTTGAGGCCCGAGTCAAGCATGGGTCATACCATTGCAGCCAACCAGTTGTTGTGTTCGGGTTGTCAGCAGCATCCCACCGCTACCACCAGTTGATGTGTTCGGGGGTCTGCTTAGAGGACCGAAGCCAGCCAGAGTCTCGGGGAGATGTCGAGGAGAGCAGCCCGGAGTTGTTAACAGTAACTTTTTACATGATTTACAGGTAGCGTGTTGCTACATGATGGGGTTAGCATCAGGGAAGCCCTCGAGCTTCTGTGATCTTCTCGGAGCTTGTGAGAGCTTGTCGGGAGCGCCTCGGTGCTCGCATTTTATCTCCTGGCCTTCCCACGATTCCCTGCAAAAAAAAAAACAATGGAGGCCAGGACAGTCTAATGAATTTTGCCATCTTTTCCTCCGCCCCCGAAAGGGGAAGGTGAAACGCCGCCTCTTTCCGAACCAATAAAAGGGGAAGAGGCACGCCCAGTTCAGCCCATGGCAAGGGAGAAAACATTCCACACTGTGCACGACACTGCACAGCACGAAGACGTTGAGTCCTTTGTGGAAGTCAACTCTGTAGCCGGTTGCAGTGATGAGTGTGTGGCTCCAAGCAGGCCGTGGTTTGTGGAAATGGTGGCATGGCGGCACCACGGAAAATGTGAGAAAGCACTCAAACACGGATCTCAGTCGCTTGGCTCATTGTCCGCGACACTCCAATGAACAGAGACGTACAGAGATAACCACCCTCTTTAAGTCGTTTTGACTGTAAAACAGCCCTTCATAGGTCGCCAGTCGGTCGGGTAAGTTCAAAGGGTTCTACGAGGGGAGCGCCGCAAAATCCCAAGTATGGCTTGCGTGTCGTTCTCGCTTGTGGTTCACCTCTGGGAGCACTGTCTCACGTCCAAGCGGCGCCATGTCAGGGAGCCCGATTATAACAGTGTCATGATGACACATTCTAAATTAAACGATCCCTTTGCCCTCTGACAAGCGTCTATCTTGTATTTGCGTGCACGTACACTATTCCAGACTCCGCGATGACAGTGACCACACGGCGCAAGCAGACAATTGAAGATGTGGCATGCAAGCTGCCGTTTGTGTGTGTGTGTGTGTTTGACGTCATCACAACTAGTCGGACTGCTGCGTGTATTCACCAGCATTAGTACTGCAGCCTGTCATCAAGTTAGTAACGATGTTGGTTGGTGTGCCATGAGAAATTTAACTTTAATATAAAAAAAATAAAATATTTTATTAGTATTTGCCGAGTGTCAGGCTTGCAGTCTCTCTATACAGAAGATTTGTACGGCAGAGTAAACTCGCTTCCGAAAAAAGATGTCAGTACCCCTTTAAGTATGGTAGGGGCACTTCGCGGCTGGAGGCATCAGCTCGAAATTTCGCAATAGATGTGAAAAGGTACGCAATCACTATAGGCTTTCAAGCAAATGCTATGCTGACTTAGAAATTTGAAACTAAAAAGAGCTTTCAGGTTTGTATGACTCGCTAAGGTTTTTCATGCATCTATTGTGATGTGAGCACTAGTATTTAATTTTTTTTGTTGGGGGATAGTGTGGTCAGCTCGAGCAATCTGCTCTGCATACTTATCAATGCGTGGTATTAATGCTTTTTATTGTAATGGATTCTTGGAGAAGGAAAATTTTGTTATTGCCAGAGTTGCTGCACAAAAAGGAATTCTTCCTGGTGCTGTGCTTACAGGTTCTACCCACACCCAGCAGCTGCCAAAGCAAGATCGGAACAACGGCTGGATCTTATCTGGTCACGTGCCACTTGTGATGTTTGTGGTGTTGGCCTGTGTTGTAGCTCTCCTGCTGCCACTCGAGGGTTCACATGACGCCAGCAGCCACCCTCTGTTTGCATACTTCTCTCTAAGCCACGAGATCAAGCTGGTCACTGCATACATTCTTGGTAGGTCCATCCCATGTTAAATACCCACTTGGTTGTTTGGGCGACCAACTGGTGTACCATTTTATTTATCCAAACTGCTACTTCATCGATGTAAATGTCATTGTTGCATATTTTTAGAAGCCGCAAGAACAGCAAGGTAAAGAAATTAAGTCTATTTGATTACTTTGATCGAGACTGCTTTATCTCTGAAATTTCATCATTTTGGCGTCTCTGCTCATGATGCTATGGTGGTGCTGCCAAATTTAAAAGGAGATGGCTAAAATACATAGGACTTCTGCCTTGTGACTCCACTAAATATTAGATAGAAATGTATACGAAGAAAGCATATTTTTTCGTACTTAGTGGAAAGGCTGAAGGAAGAAAAATACAGTAATACCTCATCAACTCTTGTATCCCGAAAAATCAGCTAAGTCGAAATTTTCCACGGCACCGAACATTTTTTTATATGTCGCATGAATAGTTATATTTTTATCTCGTAGTATTTCTTTTGGCTGGATTGCGGATAACTCGAAATCTTGACTCGGAGCAGTATCGAAATTCTGCCGCCAGACCATTTCTCAAGATTCGCATGACACTGCCATGCCTGAAGTCCGTATATTTTTTTTCCCTATTTAGTCACGCCTGTCACTACATTGATGCTTTTCGCGAATGCGAAAGGCGCGAAGTCTAAGCTCAGTGACACCAACTTTGTCAAGCAACCCTGTGGTACGTCTTGTGACACATACACTGAGCAAGGAGGCCCTCGGCTCATGCCTGGTGTAGTTTGTCTCGTTCGCTTTGTGCAGTGCTGCTGATTTTTCCTGAGGTGTGATTTTCGTTGATCTGCACAAACCGAGCGGTATGAATTTTTTTGATGATTATGAAGAGTGGCAATTTAGTTTGAGTGTGCAAGCATGGCGTCAAAGCAGTGCAAGTCTCTAACGCAAGAAAAAAGGGTTGCCCTAATTAAGGAAGTGGAGAAAGGAGGCCGAGCGAAATCGAGCATCGGGGAGGAATCTGGCGTCCCTTTGTCTTCGCTTTCGACGAGGCTTAACAATATGCAGAAGCCGCTGGATGGATTTCAAGCTTCTCCAGCCAGCGGAAGCGGGTTCCCAGACGTTGAAGTTCCCTGACGTTGAAACGGCATTGATGGTATGGCTGCGAAATAAGGTCTAGTGCACTGGCAGGGAAAATCGACTGATCCGATGCATCGAGCAGCTGAAGGACGCCTTCCTAGGCTCGAGTACGGCTGCAAAGCAGATAGAGGATTAGGCAGTTTTTTTTTTTTTTTTGCTAAATGAAATGGCAGTGCGGCAAAACCCAGCCGGTTAGTCTCTAAAAACTGCTGCTGAAGAGCCAGTAAGTAGTAGTGATTTTTCTGAAAAGCGTGCATTTTTTGTGGTGATTAGCGTAACTTTGCTTATCTCAAAAATTTGTTTATCTCAAAATTTTTTCTAGTCTTTACGACTTGGAGTTAACGAAGTATTATTGTAATTACTTTTTAGCATGCCTAGACAAATCAACAAGAGAGAGAGAGATATGGTATGAAGGAAGGCAAGGAGGCTAACCGGAAAGCAAATATCTGGTTTTGCTACCCTGCACTGGGGAAGAGGGAATGGGAGACAGAAAAGTAAGGAAAACGAAATGAGAGAGAGAATGGGAGGAAGCGACACACGCGCGCGCGCGCATGCACACACACACACACACACACACACACACACACACACACACACACACACACACACACACACACCACACACACACACACACCACACACACACACACACACACACACACACACACACACACACACACACACACACACACACACACACACACACACACACACACACACACACACACACACACACACACACACACACACACACACACACACACACACACACACACACACACACACACACACACACACACACACACACACACACACACACACACACACACACACACACACACACACACACACACACACACACACACACACACACACACACACACACACACACACACACACACACACACACACACACACACACACACACACACACACACACACACACACACACACACACACACACACACACACACACACACACACACACACACACACACACACACACACACACACACACACACACACACACACACACACACACACACACACACACACACACACACACACACACACACACACACACACACACACACACACACACACACACACACACACACACACACACACACACACACACACACACACTAGAATGTCACAATCGTTCGAAGAGGCGGGTCGATTGCAGAAACTTCAGGGGGGCCTTCGTCGCTTTTCGGTGTTAAGCTCGATCTTTCCTGCATTCCAAAATTAATTTTTCGGAAATTAGCTGGTCGTCAAGGCGTGCAAACACTGCTGACAGTTGTACTGAGGGCACTGACACACAATATGTTCGATGGTTTTGTCAGTGCCGCAATGGTCACATGCAACACTGTCTGTCCATCTGATGCGGCAAGCAATGGCGTTCGTGTAAGACACCCCAAGCCACATGCAGCAGAGAACGGTTGTCTCAGATTTGAATAAACCAGATGGAATGGTAAGTCGTAGGTATGGATCCAGGCGGTAAAGATGGGTGTGGAGAAATTTAGGAGTGTTTCACAGAAACCTGACGACATCGTGCACGAGCATATCAGTCAACAAGAAATGGGCTGCTTTTTACTAGAAAAATTGTGTTATAGTACTATTATTTCTCTTGAACACATATTAGAACATTGACCATTTTCAGGGGATGCTGTGAATTCCCTGCAACTAATTAAGTCTAAAATTAAAGGAGATATGATTTGATTCCGCCTTCAACTTGTCCAAAAACCTGCCTCTGAGTAAATGCTCTCAACATAGTGGACAAATTATCAGCTACTGAATTAGTGAGGCCTTGATCTTGATCATCCAGTTTCATCTCATCACTTTCGTTGTCATCATTCTCACAGCTTTCGCAATGCACAACAGTGGCAAACACTGTTTCTTTCTTACCAGTCAAGAAATGTCACAGTCTTGCTCATTGAATAATTTTTCAAACTGTCCCACCACTGTAGTGCTTCTTTGAGTTATCCTTGATTCGCCAGTATATAGTGCTTTCTCTTATTTTCAAAAGTAATATTATCACCCTTATCTTTTGTTTAACTGTGTTTTTTGGACTCCTGTACTTTTGGCCCAATTCAAGATGGAAGCTCGAATGCCAATTTGGCATTCAAGCTTCCATCGCGGTGTCAAAAAATGTTTGTTCTAGTCAGATGTTGGAAACTGCCGATGCTAGTTTTCTAGCTTTTGTTGGTTTGTGTGGTTGGTAACACCAGCTTTCAAAAAATATTTGTTTATGAGTGCGCTTGACAGGGTCCTATGCTCAAATAAAAACACTTCGTAATTTTCTTGGTTAGACACACTATTGATGAGAACTAACAGGCACCAAGAAAAATATAGAGGATGTTACTGAGAGTAATTGTAATATAAGTGTGAAATAAAGAAAAGTTGACAAAAAGAAAACTTGCTGCTGCCAGTGACCAAGCCTGCATCCTTCGAATAACATGTCTAATGCTATATCGAGCTGCAGCTGCGGTCATCCCCTTTTCCACTTTATGGGGTATATATAGTTGACGACAGTTGATGACCAATAATTTGGACTGTACAGGGAACTTAAATATGTCCATGCCCAAATTATCAAATGTCTTAAAAAAACGAATGTGTCAGAAAAAGATTTTTTATTGACACTTTAGTGGCCCAGTGGGCAGAAAAAAATCACAGCATATCCACGGAGTGAATGATGAAGAGTGTAACGAAGCTGAAGCTTCGGAGGGTTTTTCGGTAAACCGTGAATTGTCCGACCGCTGGCCACATTTCGTCCGCCTGTCTGTCCATCTGTGCATCTGTCTGTCTGTGTGTTCGTCCGTCCATCTGTCCATTCATCTAGTGAACACTCGAAGTACCACCATCTTGCATCTTTTCATCATATATTCATCACATACAAGTACCGCCATTTAGCGGACATTCGTAAAACTAAATGGCAGGTGGCTACTTACATCGAGGACGCACGACCCACAGTTTAAGAAGCTTTACCCCTGAAAGCTGTCTGTGCATTGCTACACACACTTTCGCTTAAATGCAACTATTGTCCGTATTTCTGTGGTATTCTCGCTGTGCGATGACGAAAGAACAGCGAGTGTTTGAGGCAGGCCTGCATGCGTCGGCTCCAGAGCCCACGGTGCGTCGTCATAATCAGAGTCAGAATCACCGTTTTGCGGTTGCAGAACCTGCTCAATTATGTCTTCCCCATTCAATTGGGCACATGATGACACAGTGCTGTCAATGTTTGCAAAGTCTTCAAACATAACTGCATCAGGAATCTACACACCACAGGCTCCCGTGTCGTCAATGATGTGTGCACTTAGCTCGTTGCACTGGGTGGCAGGTCCAGCTCTTCAGTTGCAATGTTGGGGTTTTCAGTTGCACTGTTGGGTTTTTCAGCTGCAGTGTCGGGCTCACTATGGAACGTGAGCCCAGAGCGCCGGAAACCATTGCTAATTGTTCTTGCCAACGCTGCCTTCCAGGCAAGCATGCTGTAAGCATGCAAGCATGTAAGCATGCTCACGGCTGACATCAAGTCGACGTTCGAACTTGAGCTAATGAGGGGTTTCGACCTCTCCCACGCCTAGCCGTGCGTGGCTGAGCCGTGTCCGAAGAAAAGGGGATCCTGGGGGTTGAGCGGACGCCGGGTGATTGGACCTTTAAGGCCCCCCAGCAGAGGCAACACACCCCTTTGGCCCCCGGCTTCATGTAGACGGCAGCCCTGGGCTGACCCACCCAGGGTAAATCGGCAGTCGCCTTTTCCTATCTCTTTCTCCCCTCGTCTTCGTCTTTACCTCTCACTTTTTATTTGTCCTGTGACCTTACATCTTCCGTCTACAACCCTGTGTAGGTGCCCAACCTTGGGTAACTATATTTGGTTGTAGCGTCC